CAAATGGGACGCACAGTCCCTGTTATGGGACACGCAGTCCTGGCAAATGGGACGCGCAGTCCCTGCTGCGGGACACACATTCCTGGCAAATGGGGCGCGCAGTCTCGACTATGGGACACACAGTCCTGGCAAATGGGGCGCGCAGTCACTGTTATGGGACACGCAGTCCTGGCAAATGGGACGCGTAGTCACTGCTATGGGACACACATTCCTGGCAACTGGGGCGCGCAGTCTCGATTATGGGACACACAGTCCTGGCAAATGGGACGCACAGTCCCTGTTATGGGACACGCAGTCCTGGCAAATGGGACGCGCAGTCCCTGGTATGGGACACACATTCCTGGCAACTGGGACGCACAGTCCCTGTTATGGGACACGCAGTCCTGGCACATGGGACGCGCAGTCCCTGCTATGGGACACAAATTCCTGGCAAATGGGGCGCGCAGTCTCGATTATGGGACACACAGTCCTGGCAACTGGGACGCACAGTCTCCTGTTATGGGACACGCAGTCCTGGCAAATGGGACGCGTAGTCCCTGCTATGGGACACACATCCCTGGCAACTGGGACGCGCAGTCTCGATTATGGGACACACGGTCCTGGCAAATGGGACGCACAGCCCCTGTTATGGGACACGCAGTCCCCGCGCATTGGAGGATGCCCCATGTAAATCGGAGGTGAGAGGGAGAGATCGAAGTGGAACGGATAGGTGGCAGTGTCAGACATGGGGGTGGGGGGCTTACCAGCCACCGTGCAAAGGGCCCGCGTGTAGGCCATGGGCGGTCATAGGCCGCGCAGTGGAAGGCATTGGCGCGAGTGTTGCACAGCATAGGCGTGGTAGTAGCCGCATCTTCACAAGTGTTGCATCCAGAATATGGCGTGCCACCATTGTTAGGGCACGAAGCGGTCAAACATTACCCGTGCCTTAAACGACAGCCGTGGCAATCCTCCACCTCCACCTCCTCCTCCTCATCCTCCTCCTCCTCCTCCTCCTCCTCCTTCTCCTCCTCTTCCTCCTCCTCTCCTCCTCCTCCTCCTCCTCCTCCTCTTCCTCCTCCTCCTCCTCCTCCTCCTCCTCCTCCACCTCCCCTCCCCCTCCTCCTCCTCCTCCTCCTCCTCCTCCTCCTCCTATCTCCTTCTCCTCCTCCCTCCTCCTCCTCTCCTCCTCCTCCCCCTCCTCCTCCTCCTCCATCCCTCCCTCCTCCTCCTCCTCCTCCTCCTCCTTGTCCATTTTCTCCTCCTCCTCCACCTCCTCCTCCTCCTCTTCCTCCTCCCCCTCCTACTCCTCTCCCTCCTCCCCCTTCCCTCCTCCTCCTCCTCCTCCTCCTCCTCGCCCTCCCCCTCCTCGCCCTCCCCTCCTCAGGTCGCCTACGGCCCCGGGGAAAACCGTACATCCCCCCTTGCCCTCCTCGAGAGCGAAAGTCAGGGGCGGTCGAACCGCCCCTCCCTCTCAGGGGGCTGGCATCTTATGAGGGTATCCGGTGGGAGGGGATTTTAGGGGAATGCAGTGGAGGCCCATGCCAAGAAATTCCCTGCTTGCCTCCAGGGTGCCCTGGGTTTTTTGAGTTTCGATGGTTTTGCGACGGAGAGCGCGACGTTCCCACACCAAAATCAGTGGACGTCCTGGGGTCTCAGGGTTGGGTTTCTTGTGGACGGGCCGCCGCTGTGCGGGTTGTGGAGTGGGGAGGGGCGAACGGCCTGACGGCGACAGGGCCCCCTGTCGCCCCCGCCCTCCCTCTCCCTTTGTCTGCCTCGGGGGAGTCGCAGGAGGACGGATGCCGCCGTTGGAGAGCCTTTGGTCGCCGCGGCTGGAATCGGAATCGCGCCGACGTCTTTGGCCAGAGCGCGCCCCCACGGGGCTCCGCGGAGCAGCGGTATCGGTACCTTCTCGTTGCCCCAGGGAGGGGAGGGAGGGAGGCGAGGGGAGGGACATCGCGAGAGGGGAGGGCAGAGGCGGCGGGGGCCGGGCATCCGACGTTTTTTTTTTTTTTTTTTTTTTTTTTTTTTTTTTTTTTTTTTTTTTTTTTTTTTTTTTTTTTTTTTTTTTTTTTTTTTTTTTTTTTTTTTTTTTTTTTTTTTTTTTTTTCTGTTTGTTTGCAACGTGGGCCCCCAGAGGTCTGGACCCCTTCCCTGGAGCATGTTTCTCCTCCCGAGTTCCCAGCTATCTGGCGGTGTTCCTGTTTTGAATCAGCGGCGCGGCGCCCCATCTCTTTCTCCTCTTTCCCCTGCTCCCTGTCCCTGATTCTACCCTCGCCCATTTCGGCGCACCCTTCACGCGTCTCGTCGCCCCATAGGTAGGAAGCCTCATTCAAGACCCCAGTTAGAAGTTCGCATGGTGGCTCCGCGCCCACTTCGGCACACCCCTCACACGTTTCGTGTCCCCATATGGAGCCCGACCGAAGGCCCCAGTGGGAAAGGTCGCATGGCGGCGCCGCACCCATTTCCGCACCGCTCGTACGTTTCTGGGCCCCACAGTGGGGCTCACCGAATGACCCAGTGGGAAAGTTCGCATGGCGGCGCCGCACAACATTTCGGCTGGGGAGTTCCTCCTCATTTGTCCCACCTGCCTTGCGATAATGGCGGCTGCACGTTGTCGGACCCTGCGCCAGGATGATTGTTTTTGAAGGCCCTTGGGCCTGGCGATGGCCTCCAGAGGCCGACCATTGCTCTCTCCCCCCCGTCGTGAGTTTTGTTTTTCATGGCCGCACGAGGATGTCAGGGGGGAGGGAGGAGGCAGGCGGGGGTGCGGAGGAGAGGAGGGAAGCGGGGTGGTCAAGAGCGAGCCGAATGTCGACGGCTATTTCGGCAACAGTCTCCAGCGCCCCATGTGGGAGGACGCCCTGGGCTGGGGCTGAGGAGGAGGAGGATGAAGATGCGAAGGATGATGATGCTGATGATGATGTTGATGATGATGATGATGATGATGATGATGATGATGCTGATGATGATGATGATGATGATGATGGTGGTGGTGGTGGTGGTGGTGGTGATGATGATGGTGATGATGATGATGCTGATGATGATGCTGGTGAGGATGATGCTGGTGATGATGATGATGATGATGATGATGATGCTGATGATGATGATGATGGTGGTGGTGATGATGATGATGATGATGATGATGATGGTGGTGATGATGATGATGATGATGACGATGATGCTGATGCTGATGCTGATGATGATGATGATGATGATGATGATGATGATGGTGGTGGTGGTGGTGGTGGTGGTGGTGGTTATGATGATGCTGATTATGATGATGCTGATGGTGATGATGATCATGATGATGCTGATGATGCTGATGCTGACGGTGATGATGCTGATGATGCTGATGATGATGATGATGGTGGTGGTGATGATGATGATGATGATGATGATGAGGAGGAGGAGGAGGAGGAGGCGAATAAAAGGGTGGTCGTGGGGGATGTGGGAGGAGGATGCGGAGGAGGAGAAGAAGGAGGAGGACCCGTGCCCTCATCGGGGACCCACGCTACGACTGGCCTATGTCCTCATTGGCGAGGGGCCAGTGATGGGAACAAGAGCCCGCTGGAGATTTTCTTGATGTCAAGGATTTTAGTATGTTCTTAGCGAGCTTCGGTGTGATGCTCTGTAAGCGGCCTTTCCCTGCGTAAGGCCCCACCCCGCCCCAAGCATGACACCGTTCAGCTCGTCTGCGACCAGAAGGGTCGCGCGGTCCAGAGGAAGGTTCGCAGAGGGCGAGGGGGGTCTAGACGTGGTCGTTGCGTTGAGCCTCGGGATTTTCAAAATCGGCCGCGTGTGCCCTCCCATGCGCAGGGCGCCCGAGGCTTGCCAGGCAAGCCCACCCCAGCCATGAGCTCTTAATCACGGGGGGCCGTATCGTCTGGTGTAGAGTGCGTGCGGCCTTCGGGGCTGCACGGCTGTGCCTGCTGGTGTTGAGTCGGGCATGTCCCTCTACAGGAGGACTTTTCAAACAGAGTCAAACATAGTCAGGGGACGATTTTTTGGGGACCATTTCGGGGTATTTCTGTTGGGTATCTTTTATTATTCGCCCCACATCCGCCTGTAGGGGGACATGCCCGAACTAATGCTGGTGTGTGTGTATGTGTGTGTGTGTGTGTGTGTGTGTGTGTGTGGTGCCCCGGGGCGCCCCCAAGCGAGCCAGCCGTGCAGCCCCTGAAGCAGCTCAGAGCAGCGAAGGATCCCTCCACGAGAGAGTGCCTGGGAAGGCGCGTCCCCCCCCCCCGTCGTCTGGCCGAGGCCCTCGCAGATGCCCGAGGCACCTGGCAGGGTCTTGTTTTTTGCTCTCGTTTCTGTTTGCGTTCGCTCGCGTTCGCCCGCCACCGTGACCTTTCATCTGGAGGGACATGGTTGCGCGAGGATCGACAGGATCGACCAGAAGAGGAGGAGGAGGATGAGGAAGAGGAATATTGCTAATCATCTAGCGTAGACAAACGCTACTAATACGATTCATACTGAATATAAAAATGCTAAGAACAGTAATGCCACTAAGCTATGAATGATGCTAGTCGCAATCATACTAAGACTATGAAGTATACTAATCATCATAAACCTACTCACGGGTATCCATAAGAAACATCATACAAATCGCAAGACGAATCGTCAGCATACTACTCACTTACATACCATTCCAACGAAGAAGACGAGCACTACGCAGACTCATAATAGTATGTACCATACTTATGAACATATTAACAGGGCCTAATGCTAATAAGAGACGTACTAAGACTAAGACTAATACACGACTATTATCACTATTCGTAATAACAATAATCGGACTAAACTAGTACTACTGCTACTCGTAATAGAGTAAGGCTATCACGAACGATGTCGCGAGTAAGAAGAACACGATTCATACTAATACGAAGAAAACTAAGACGAACAGTAGCAATCATAAGAAGAGGAGGCGGGGAGGTGGAGGAGGAGAAAGAGAAGGAGGAGGAGGAGGAGGAGGAGGCGATGTACCGATACCGCTCTGCCCTTCCCTCCACCGAGGCCAGATTCGCCCTGGCATCCCTGTTCTGGGCGGCTCCCTGGTGGAGAGATCTGGGCGATGGGCCCCCGAAACTCAGTCGCCATGCGCAGCGGCGCCGCGAGCAGGCCAAGGACTGGTGCTGCAAGTACTGCATCCACCCGATCTCGCAGAACCAGTGGTGGAATCGGTCCGACACGGTGTCGTGCACCAAGTGCGGGTCGGCCAAGGCCGTGGCATTCATGTGTGTTCGCCCGCCGCCTGGACCGTCCACCAAGCGTGCCAAGCCGCCAGCTGCGAACTCAGGCAGCGGCTCCGCTGCGGTGCCGCCGTGGGTTAACGACAAGCTGGAGGCCCTGGCAAAGGAGTTGGCCAGCACCAAGGCCAAGCTGGCTGAGACCACCAGCAAGCAGCACGCGCCGTCCATGGAGGTCGACGAGGGCGCAGAGCACTGTGAGGGCCAGGGTGACTCCTTGGACCAGAAGAGGGCGCGCCTTGAGGAGGTCGACGCTGCGCTGCGGGCCATCGCCGGCTCCAGCGAGGTCCTGTTCGAGACGGCTCGGGTCGAGCTGGAGGACACTCGCAAGAAGCTCAGCGCGGAGCTGGCCGCTGCGAAGCCCGTCCCAGCGCAGCTGCGCACCCTGTCCTTCAAGCTGGGCAAGCTCGAGCAGAAGCGCGCCAAGCAGGAGGAGGCCCTGCAGGCAGCCAAGGACAAGGTCGTGCAGGCCAACAAGGAGGTGGATGAGGCCACGCAGCAGCTCGCCGAGTCCGACGCGGCGATCTTGGAGCTCCAGCAGGAGCAGACGCGGCTCGCCGCCACGCTCCCTCGTCCACCAGCTGGAGGCGTCTCGCCAAAGGCTGACATCGTCGAGGGGCTCGGCGTCACCATCGAGAAGCTGGGCGCGATGTTGGCGGAGCTCGGCGACAGCGGGGTGCTCGCGGAGAAGCTTGGCACGGTGCTGGGCGAGGTCCGTGAGTACGAGCAGCGTAAGGTCGAGGCCGCAGCGCAGGAGGCCAAGGCTGCGGCCGAGGCAAGGGCGACCCAGGCCAAGGCTGAGCCTGTGCCCAGCCAGGGCGCCAAGGAGTCGGAGGCAGGCCCAGACCTCCCAGACCCCGACACGGCGACCGAGGAGGAGCTGCGCGAGTTCCTCTCCAGCTCGGGCGTGGACCCGTCCCAGGAGTGCGAGGAGCTCCGCGGCCAGGTGCGCAAGATCACCGACGCGCTGGGCGGCTGGCGCGAGGTCAAGAGGGCCAAGGTGCTGTCTGCTGCCTAGCCTGCTGCGCGCGCTGCTGCTCCTGGCGCTCCTGCCGCTGGCAAGGGCATCTGGCACCGTCGGCACGGTTGCTGGAGGGCTGGATGCCAATCCGCTGTTCGGGCAAGCGTCGGCGGCGGCAGGCTCCAGCCGCTCTCCCGCGGCCCTGGCTGAGGCCAGCGCTGCCCGCAGCATGCGGAGGGCCCAGCTGCTGGAGCGCGTTGGAGCGCGCGAGCAGGCCTTGACTAAGGCGAGAGCGCGCCAGCGCCGAGGCAAGGCCTCCAGCAAGGTCGGCCTGTCTGCGGCCGATCGAGACGTACTGCTTCCTCGACGAGCAGGGCAGGGGCCTGCTGCTGCCTCTGGCTCCCAGGCGGCTTGCTCTGCGGTCGGATCTGTCGGGCTTCAGGTTGGGAATCGCACCGAGGCTCTCGGCAGTGCAGCGGGAGACCGCAGCATAGCAGCGGGAGACCGCAGCGAGCCACCGTTTGGGCAGACTGGCCGAGGTGATGACGAGGCAGACCGCGGAGGCCGTCTGGGCGGCAACGACTACGGGGAGGTTTGCTCAGGCATCGGATCTGCTGGGCTTCCAGCTGGGACGACTGGCGGAGGTGATGGCAAGGATGACGCTTGGGGCCGCCCATTCCCCTTTTCTCACACAGGTGCAGATGAAGATGGTAATCATGTTCCTGACCGCAAGGGTTCTATTGTGACTTTCAATTGCTCTGAGGAGGGCCAGCTATTGCGCTTCCTCGACTCCTGCGAGCACACTGTGGTGGCTATACAAGAGCACCACGTCGCAGAGGATCGTCTTCCAGATCTGCAGCATCGAGCTCTGGACCCTGGCTGGCATGGAGTCTGGAGCTCGGCCACCAAGACGGGCAACCAGGAGGGCACTCAGGCGGGCCTGGCCATCCTGGCGAAGGGAGACGTGCTGGTCACGGCCCCCCCAGGGCGCTCGACGCCCCACATGGCGAATGGGAGAGCGCTGGCAGCCCACGTCCATTGGGGGGTGCCTGGGGGATTCATTGTGATTTCAACATATCTTTATGTGAATGAAGGCCTCTCTGATAATAACGTTCGCATCTTGGCAGAGATCTGTGAATACATTGAAGTTGTCAACGCGATGGGTCTTGATTGGATCGTCGCGGGAGACTTCAACCTGGAGCAGGCCGAGTTCGGAGACATGGAATGGTTGTATGGATTGGGAGGTGTGTTGACGCGCCCATCAGTTTCGACGTGCAGGCAGTCGTTGCCAGGCAGGACGATAGACTATTTCCTGATGACCACCAATCTGCTCCCCAGAACGTGCCGCCCGTATGTGCAGGAAAATGGAGACACATTCCCACACCTGCCAGTTGTATTACCTATCATGGGGAAGGATGTTGTTTTGAAGACTCGTACGTTGGTCAGCCCGAAGCGCCCTTCGAGACAGCCGAAGCCTGGGTGCTCTAGATACCCTTTGAACTGGTGCCAGGTCAATCGTATTATTGATCAAGCGATTGATAATCCCACATTGAGTGCAGCATGGGACGCAGTCTTGGCACAGTTGGAGATTGAGTTGCTTGCCAGATATGATATTGTCGGATCTCACACTGAGGCTTACCGAGGCAGAGGCGGAGACACCCAAATGCAGTATGCTAAGTTGCGGTGGGAGCCGCCTAGGCGCAGAGGTGAGCAGACAACACGAGACAGAGCTTGGAGAGCAGCAGGCCGATGGGCCCGCCATTTACGCCGCTACAAAGAGAGCCTTGTCAATCAGGCTGTGCTGCTATGCCATCAGGAGCGGGCGGGTACGATGTCCAGCAAGGCTTTCGACAAGTTTGCTCGTATGCTAGTGGACATCACCAAGTTCATGACAAGGATTCGCAACGATCCTTTACGCGACGCCTTGGATGATGATGCTCGGAACTTCTTCGACATGGACATCGGTTTCGTCACCAGTGGTCGTACGAATGACATGATTGAGAGCATCATCGGTCGAGCGGACGAGTGCCAGAAGCGCCAGAATGACACAGCCTTGGCGTGTTGGCGAGAGTGGGCGGCTTCGTCGTTCAAAGGTGGAGGTCGTTTCGCACACCGTCACACTCGAGGCCGTGCTCTTCAGGAAGTTTGTGCTGCCTGCCTGCTCCCTGGCTCGGAGGCGCAGCCATTCAAGATGGCGGACAGAGCTATGCGAGAGTGGGACGCCATATGGCACATGCATGATCTTCCTGAGCCAGTACCTCACGCATCTGAGCAGTGGGACGACCTACCACATATATCCCTGGACGATATCAAGCGTGCGATCCTGCAGTTCCCCTGGACCACGGGCATCGGGCACTTCGAGTTCGCGCCCCGCGCGTTCTGGTTCGTTTCGGACGCCGGCCTGGAGTCGCTGGCGCGCTTGTTCATGCGATGTGAAAAGCTTCTGATTTGGCCGTCGTCTCGCATACTTACTCAGCTTGTGCGTATTCCGAAGTCCACAGGCGGCTGCAGGCTGATCGCCCTAATGCACACCCTCACTCGGATTTGGGGACGTGTTCGCCGTCCAACAGCGGTCGCCTGGGAGCGTGACCACGCGCATCCCACGGTGTGGGGGACAGGTCCAGGGCGATCGTCCAGTGACAGCGCCTTCTCTTTAAATTTAGCTTCGGAGATTGCGCACGAATTGCGAGAGGATTGTGTTACTGTTTTCATAGACATGGTGAAATGTTATGAATGTGTAGACCTCCAGGCCCTCTTGAGGGAGGCCAAGGCCACAGGGTTCCCGCTCCGTCTGGCCTGGATGGCCATCCAGAACTACACCCAGCCTAGAGCCCTTAGAGCCTTCGGTAGTTTGTCGTACTCGGTTTCCACGGCCCAAGGGATCTTAGCTGGGTGTTCTCTAGCCACCACTCTGCTCACGGTGCTTCTATATAGAAGTTTGAACCTGTCGGTGGAGCGATTCCCATCTGTGGAACCCAGGGACCTTATGGATGACGTGAGTTTTAACTGGGTGGGCAAACGCCGCCAAGGCAAATATCCAGGAGAGAGCTCACATGTGCTTGCGCAGGCGGTTCAGTCTTTCTGCCATGATATTGCCCCCCTCGGATTGCGTGTGCAGGCGAATAAGAGTGGGTTTGTGGCCAACACTTGTGCCGCCCGTGACACATTCGCACGGCACATTTCGCAGCTAGGTTTTCGCAGCAAGCACGGCATGCGTAATCTAGGGCACGAGATGCACGGAGTCAAGGTTCTGCGGGTCCAAGAGAAGGCCCGACTTCGAGTCTTGCAGTCCAAGAGGCGTAAAGTCTGGGGGCTCCGTCAGGCTCAACCTGAGGCCGTCAAGGCCCTTTGGCGAACGGGGCTCCTCCCAGCAGCCAGCCACGGAGGTGGCGTTAGCGGTGTGTCCGATGTTTCTCTCCGCGAGCTGCGTACGTTTGCGGGAGGGATGGTAGGAGTTAAGCCCAAGTCCTGCCTCACTACCTATCTATGCACGCAAAAGGACGATAGGTTCGACCCTGTGTTCGATGCTTCGGTTCCGCTTGTTGTGAGGTTTGCTACTTGTGTCTGGGAAGCCAGGGTCGTTCCTTCACGTCTTGCTCGAGCTTGGCTCGCGATCAAAGACAGAATTCAGCACAATCCAGCGTGGAAGTTTGCCAGGGGTCCGATTTCTTCGGTATGGTATACGCTCCTTCGGATAGGGTGGTCAATGTCAGGACCCACCACCTTAGTGAGCGACGAGGGCTGGCCCATCGACCTGCTCCGTGTATGTCCTCAGGACGTGCGCATTTTTCTGGAGCAGGGAATTCGAAGATGGCAGGTTGCGAGGGTCCTGGCCCATTTCCCCGACAACCAGGGGCACACTGTTTGGCGTCGTGCGCTTCGGAAATCAGTGCTTGCTCTCCGTGATGGGGGCCGTCGTGGGGCGCTGCGGTCCTTGTGGGCTGCGGGGGTCTGGACTCCTGAGCGCCTCCATTCGATTAATTTGCGCCCGACGCCGTTGTGTTTTGTGTGTAAAGAGCAGGTCGGCACCGAGGCCCACCAGTGGTGGGGTTGCGATGGCATGCTTGAGTGTAGGCCTGAAGAAGCTTTGCCCGACGACGTTTTGGAGCACCGTGCCAGCTTGGTCAAGAGCTACCAGACAGACAATGGCAAGGAGGCTTTCTTTTTAAATTATGGGCTGCCGCCCTTGCCGCCCTTTCCAGAGCCAGTCGCCGACTCGCTTCCGACGATGGGGTGGGGTGACTGGCGGGGAGCTTGGGGGCCGAGGGTGTACACGGACGGGTCAGGCCTGGCGAATTCGATGGAAGGCCTGACGCGCTGCGGCTGGGCCGCGGTCCAATTAGATGAGTCTGGCTGTGTAGTCAGAGCGATCTATGGCCCGCTTCCAGGTAGGCTTCAGACCGTCCCTAGGGCGGAACATTATGCGGCCCTTCGAGCCATCCAGATTGCAGCGCACCCAGCAGAGATTGTGTCTGATCACCTCAGTTTGGTGAAGGCAGGTCGGCAGCCCTCTTCTTTGTGCGAATCAGGTGCTTCTCGTCAGGCGTCTATCTGGAGGCAGATTAGGCACGTTGTCGGACAGTCGGAGCCTCCCACCTTTCGCTGGACGAGCGCCCATCGTTCCCTGGACGACGTGCTGCCCCTAGGGGCGGCCGAAGTGTTTGATTTCGTCGGAAATGAATGGGCCGATTATTTTGCCAAATTGGGCTCGCAGTCCCATGCTGTTGCGCAGGTGCTCGTTGATGTGCACAAATCCAGATTGCAGGTCGCGCGTAAGGACGGTGAGGCCTTTGCCTGGATGGTCCAGGCGGCCGCGAGGAAGGCGGAGCAGCTGCAGCCAGCAGCCGACGCCCCTGCGCCCCGCAAGGCCCCCCCCGCGCCCTCGCTTGCTGTCACATCTCACACGATGTTGTTCTGTGCAGCTATCTCTGAATACAGGTGTATGTTGTGCAATCGTTTGGCTCGCACCACCCTGTCCTATCGTTTTTTGCGTAACTCGGCTTGTGCTCCCTCGGCCCTTCAGCGGGCAACTGCGGAGCGCTTCTTCCGTCTGACCCCCCAGCACTACGTGTCTGATTCGACGCCGTCGGTGCAGGTGGCGGTCGAGGCCGCAGGAGGCCCGCTACATGAGGAGGAAGGAGGGATGCTGCCTGCCGCTGCTGCTGCTGATGGGGTGGTGGAGGTGTGCACTTCTCTCGGACATCCCGCCGAACGATTCGGCCCCGCCGTTATCTGTTTAGCCTGCGGGGCCTTTTCGATTAATGGTGGTCGGAATCCGAAACTCACGGCGAAGGCCTGTAAAGGCCACTCTCCCGTGGCCTCAACGCGGGCCAACGAGGAGAGCAACATTTCTAGGGTCCTCAGGGGCCTGCATCCCCGATCGGGCGTGCCCTTGTCGCTCGATTGATGCGTGTGCTGCGCCTCGCCACGCTCAGCCAACTTTCCCGCTGAGATGGTGGCCGAGCCTCGGCACATAAGAGCTGGGCAAGGGTGGCCAATGCCCCCCTGCCTGGCTTCTCACGCTCCTGCTGGGGGGTGTCAGTGACCCTGACACTTCTTTCATCGCTGCCGCCTCCTCCGCCTCCTCCTCCTCCCCCCCAGCAGCAGCAGCGGCGCCGCCGCGCGCGCGGCGGAAGGACAAGCGCGCCGGGAGCAGCCGCAGCCGCAGCCACAGCCGCCCCCCGCGGCGCCGCCAGGGCAGCGGCGGCCGCAGCCGCAGCAGGGGCAGGAGATGACCCGGGACGGCCCGAGGTCGTGCGCGAGGCGCGGGCCTTTCCGGGAGCCCGCGCGCTCGATTGGCTGCGGCCCCCCTCGCGACCAAAAGGCGCCGCACTCCGCCAGGCCTCCCAAGTCGGGTCCGAGCAGACGGGGTCGGAGGTTCGCGGCTCGAGGTGGAGCCCGATTCTCTCCGGGCTGGCGTCGCTGATGCATCGCCAACGTCGCTGATGCATCGCCGATGCATCGGTGATGCATCAGCGTTGCTGCGCGATCCTTCGACCCCATCTGCTCCGACCCATTTGGGAGGCTTCCACGCTCCGACACCTCTGGGAGGAGGCACGAGGGTGGAGCGTCGAACGAAGCCTCGTGCAGACCGCCCCCTGTAGCCCTTGCTGCCCTCTCGCAGGGTAGGCGCGAGAGAGCGCGCATAATGATGAGGTGTTCTCTTCAGGGGAATGTGTGTGTGTGTGTGTGCGTGTGTGTGTGTGTGTGTGTGTGTGTGTG